TAAATAATTTGATATAAATTGAAGGATAATTTTGTCATTTTACTGAATAAAACATTTTAAAATTTTTTATTCTAATTTGATGTTGGTCAAAGACCATTTGTTTGACCAAATTTCTCTAATATAGTGGGTGTTTGGTAGAGATTAAAATTAGATTTTTAGTAGACTGTGATAGAAATTTTTGAAATATGTAGTTGAAAAGTTGTGGAATTCATGAAAGATGTAGTTAATATTGATTATTTTACTTTTACTTAAATTAAAATTTGATTTTAATCGGAAACAAACAGTGATATAAATTAATAGATAAGAAACCCTACATAAACCCTGGACTTCTTTCTTCTCCGTCAAGCCAATTATGCGATAGGGTGTAAAACTCTCCGCAATTGGTACATACCCATTTGGTAATTCATCCATTTAGAGCTGTAGCGTTAGTTAATTTGAAAAATTTAGAAAATGGCGAAAAAGTGTGCATCAGGGATTATGGCAGCCCTGGCCACTGCAACTTTTGGGGCTGATTATGCTTGTGCAGATGCACCTTTTAACTTTTCTCCATTCTCGACTTCTTCTTCGGCTCCGCAGGCTGCTCCTGAGCCGGCGAAGTCACCAAGTGAGCCGGCGGCTCCCGAGCCAACAAAGCCTCGTAATGATAATCCCAGAACCACCTCATCTGGCTTCGATCCTGAGGCGTTGGAGAGGGGTGCCAAAGCTTTGAGAGAGATTAGTCACTCTTCCCATGCCAAGAAGGTTTGATATTGGTTTTTTAGTTAATTTGTTTACTGGGGTCCTGTAAAATGCCAATGTCTGCGTGAAAGATTCTAGCTTTAAATTATTTTGGGCTTAACTGTACATTGAGTTAATCGGTTATTGCATTCTTGTATGATTACATATTATTTTTTTATTGTAAAAAGAGTTCACAATTTCAGGTGGATAAATGAAAATGGTACAAGTATTTGAGGGGAACGCGTTCTCTTTTGTGTCTTTATATGCATGTCCAATTCCCTAGTGTGTGCTTTCTTGGAGTATGTAAATATTGACTGTTTGGACGCATTATGGGTTTACCCGAGGAGGAATTTTCTTCTTGTAGGTTTTTGAGGTGATGAAAAAGCAAGAAGAAACAAGGCAGCAAGAATTAACTGCAAAAGCAGCAGAGTTCAAGGCAATGCAAGCTCAAGCAGAAACTGTAAGTTTTAATTTTCATTCTTATTTTTATTTATTTTTTTAATTGTATTCAACAGGTTTGTGCTTGTATGCAAATAAATATCATTTTGTCTCACATTTAGTGATAATGGTAATGACTGTATAAATGTTCGTTTGTTTCTATGATTGCTTACTTTTAGTTGAAGATGAACCTCTAGTGCTAGTCAATTTTGTCCATTACCATAAGCCAAGATATCTAATGGCTCATTTTTGTCTTTTGTTCTGTTATGAATGCTGAACAATTAAGTGACAAATCAAAAGGGACCTTTAGTCTGTATCAGTCATCTTGATTGTTGGCTGAATTGTAAGCTAGTAATGAAACTATTTCAAGTAAGTAGCATTCTTATACCATGTTGATTTTATCTGGTTTATCATGTGTTTTTCAATCAAAGCTTGATTAATTGCTCTCCTATCCCCAGTTGATGCTCGAAAGAACTTTCATCCTTGGGGTTCTTGTAAAATGGACATATGGCATGCATGAAATAGTTTATTAATGATGAATTAGGCAGCTAATATTAATCCTAAATATTTTAAGTTTTAGAGATCCGGATTGATATTATTTGCAATGCTGACTTATACTGGTTTTGGCAAGCTGCATGAGCATCTGCTATCTGCTTTGATGCATATTTTCATCCAGTAATAAATAAACACTAATAGTATTCCTTAATGCTGGTGTTTCCCATAGTAAGCCAAAGTACTAGAAGGTAACCTTGAGAGTCCCACTTAAGGGACTCATTAGATTCTCGATCTAACTAATGTATTTCGTGCATTTAAAGTGTTCCTTATAATGGTTTATCTTGTTTGTTAGGAGACAAAAAGGGTAGTATATGATGAGCAGAAAAAACTAGCTCAGCAACAGGCACAAACAAAATCACAGATGGCTCGTTATGAGGATGAATTAGCAAGGAAAAGATTGCAGGTATCTTCATTTTTGTTCATGCAGAAGGCTTACAGAGGTTCCTGTAATTATAGGCATTCTGAATTTTTGCAGGCAGAGAATGAACATCAAAGGGCAAGAAATCAAGAACTCGTAAAAATGCAAGAAGAATCAGCTATGAAGCAAGAGGCAGCCAGACGAGCAACGGAGGAGCAAATTCAAGCACAGCATCGCCAAACTGAACGCGAGAAGGCTGAGTTAGAGCGTGAAACTATCAGGGTACGGGCTTTTGCAGAAGCAGAAGGAAGGGCACATGAAGCAAAACTGGCCGAGGATGTAAACAGACGAATGCTAGTAGAGCGTGCAAATGCAGAGAGAGAGAAATGGGTTGCTGCTATTAACACAACTTTTGATCATATTGGAGGTTTTTGTCTAATTATTATTAATCTTTTGCTAATCAGATTAATTCATTGTTTGTAGCATCAACAGATGTGGAAGTTGATAGAAATATAGGTTAATGCAGTCTTTTTTGGGGCATTGATTGTTGTTGATTTGCCCGATCTGTCTAATCTATCAACTGTGAAAGTCGTCGTGAACTTCCCAAATATGTTGTAATTAGGTTTATAACACGGGCTTTGCTTTCTAGTTCATATACTTGAGATAAAGTGTATCTTTAGAACAAAGTCATGGTTTTATTTATTTGCTTGGTTAAAAGAAATAATGATATACCATTCAAAATGGACTCATGCAGTGGACCTTAAATTCAGAAGGAATAAGCCTTAACCCCTGTTTGTCTCCCATTCTTTCAAAACCATTTTTTTTTTTTACATATTTTCAACCGCACATTCGCACAATAAAATATTTTACATGTAAACCTAAAAGTCCCCAAAAATTCACTATTCAAAACAACGTTTTTCCAAAAAAAAAAAAAGGCCACCAA